AGATGGACCAAGGGGCCATGCCGGTATCTGCATGAGGGACCCATGAATGTGGGTGTGCTGGGGAGCACAGGGCATGCGAATTTCAGTCCTCGTCAGCTGGAGAGGGGGAGCAGGACTTGTACATGGCTTCTGGTAGAGTGTTGTGTACCATGGCAGTCTGCATAGCTGACTGTGTTAGTGTCCTCTGGGTGTGCATCTGTGTGCATAGGCTTGGCCAGGACACATGCAAACCTAAGAACCCTCCTGGGTCCAAAGAGTCCTAGATGGACTTCAGCAGCCAGGAGCAGGAAACCCTGCTGGATTCAGCAGCTCCCATAAGGAGAGAGGCTTATTTTTAAAAAATCCAATCTACAGGTGGCTCATGGGAATGGTAAAATAATCAAACTGGAAAGAAATATGGTAAATTTTATTTTACAGAAAATACTGTCAAAAATATCAAAGAAAATGTTGAAAAAATGTACTGCTGCAGTATTTTTGCAAACATTACTTTTAAAAGTAATTTTAAAGTAGTTTTAAAAGAAACTTCAAAAGAATTGCATAAAAGTGAAATCAATTCACAGAATGGTACTGCAAGTTGTTCATCATACAATTAATGCTATCTTCTGCAGAAGGAAGAAGAAATCTTCTGTGCTGTTGTTTTGCCCACTAGTCAGCCTTCTGAACATATTTTACCGTACCAATCACATTACAACTTGTCTGTGATGATAACATTCACCAACTGAACAGTGAAAGAGTATCTCATCACGATGGTATTTAACAGCCTACTCTGGATTATATCTTCCTTTGCATTTAGTTCAAATTGTTGACTAGTTCAGGCTCTTGTTTACCTGTTTCTCCCTTTTTATCTCCATTCTGCCATAGCAGCTGTTACCATTGCAGATTCCACATCCTAGCCGTGAGATATGAAAAAGGTATTCTCAGTGAGGAATAACTGTTTGTCTTTGGGCACTTAATTAGACTTTGCCCCTCCCCCCAATAAAAAAGAACCCCCACAAAAAACCAAACTTCTACTTGAAGAAAAATAATTAATCTAATAACGTTTTACTGTGGAGTCATGCTGAGTTTTTATCTAATTTTTAAAATAATGAAAGTATGCAGTTAGACAGAAGAATTCAAATACCACACCAGAATGTGAATACATCAGCCACAGGACTGAAACTTAATAAAAACCAATGAATTCAACATATCACTTAGCTCACAGAGTAAGGCATGTATCCATATACGTCCATGATACTCATGAGCACAGGCAACTGTCCCCTGAAGAGAGCCAGAAATAAGGATTTAATGACAGAAAAATACTGTCAACAGCACAATCAGATCCCATGGAAAATACTCTCAATCACCTATTTTTTCACTTTTCACCTTGTAAGTAAATTAAAATATATTTTCCCTGTTAAACATCTCAATTTCTAGAATAGTAATTAAGAGCTTTTTTTTTTTTTGCTTGTTTGCTTAACACTAACTAACCTGCTTAAAAGCAGATGTTTTCCATGTCTATTTGCTAGCAAAAAGACCAATATGGCAGGTAGGTACTTGTTTAAATGACCTTAGAGCAGTCTGATTACAGCTAACTGGTAGGTCCCTGCAATTTTTTGCTTGCAATACCGTTGTCCCTGGCAGAAAAATGCCTTCCATTGTACCTGCATAGCAAGACAGGTGTCTCCAATTATCATTTTGATGGTGTTACAATGTCACATCCCTTTGCCTGCCTAAAATACAGGCATTAAATTCAGCTTCTTAACCACCAAATGTCTGCTGTGCTCATGTTTTCTGTTGGACAGGCAGGAGTTTGTGCCATCTAGCTTTCTGAATGACAGCCATTTCCCCAAACTGCAGTGAAATTATATTTTCTTTTTATAAGGGCATGTAGTGATTGGATAAGCAGGAGTGGTTTCCAAGCGGAAGATTAGGTTAGACATTAGGAATAAATTCTTTACTGTGAGGGTAGTGAGACATGGTACAGGTTGCCCAGGGAAACTGTGGATGCCCCCCTGCCTTGAAGTGTTCCAGGCCAGGTTGGATGAGACTTTGAGTGACGTGGTCTAGTGGGAGGGGTCCCTGCCCATGGAAGGGGGTTAGAACTGGATAGTCTTTAAGGTTCAACCCACACCATTACATGGTTCTGTAAAAATACTGAATATATGAATCTGTGCACACACAGCTTGTATCGATGTAGCAGCACACACCGTGCAAGCAGGCACTGAACAAGCCTTTGTGAGCAAAGTAAGCCGATTCATGATTAAACTACAGCCTCCGGGACAGGAATATATTCATTACACTGCATCAGGAAGTAGAAAACTGCATTCCTGACCATAACACACGGCAGGAGCTGGCACAGCTCCGTGAAACGCGGGGTAACGAGCTCGTCCTGTGGTGATCAGCGTGCGAGGCCGCCCGGGGCAGCGCGGCCTCCCGCAGGCCCCAGGCAGGCCCCGGGCGGGCCCCACGCAGGCCCCGAGCGGGCC